GCAAATGTGAAGTATACATGGAAGGGACAGGATTGCCATTTGAGATTGATAAACAGATAGTATTACTTTGAATGAGTTAAAATCTTCAGGGTCAGATGAGCTACATCTAAGAGTATTGAAGGAACTGGCTGAAAAATTCTCAGAACTACTGTATTTTTTTCTTGAAACCATGAAGCATGGATGAAGTGCTGGATGATTGAAGGATGGCTAATGTTGTCCCTTCAGAACTACTGTCTATTATTTTCTTGAAACGATGGAGGACGGATGAAGTGCTGGATGATTGAAAGATGGCTAATGTTGTCCCCGTCTTCAGAAAAGACAAAAAGGGATCTGGGAACTACAGACCAGTCAACCCAACACCAATCCCAGGGAAAACTCTGGAGCAGATCATAAAGTGGTCATTCTGTAAGCACCTTGGAAACAATGCAGTGATAGCTAGAAGTCAACATGCATTTGTCCAGAACAAATCTTGTCAGACTAATCTTATCTCTTACTTGTAGACAGCGGGAATGCTATACAGTAGATGTAATTTACAGTGGTGCCTCACTTAACGATTTTAATTGGTTCCAAAAAAAAAATCGCTATGTGAAAACATCATTAAGCAAAACACCATTTCCCATAGAGATGCATTGAAAACCGGATAATCTGTTCCAATTGGAATGGATTACCATCCTTAAGCGAAAATCCCCATAGGAAAAATGTTAAGCGAAACCCATTGAAATGCATTGAAGCCTATTTCAATGGGGGAAAAAAATTCACAAAAAATTCAAAAAGACTCAGAACAAAGCCAAATTAAGTTAACGAAGGTTTTATTAGGTGCACTAACAATTCCAAGCATTTTAAACATTTTTTAAACATTTTAGAATATTTTTAAAATAGCAAAAACGGGGCTGTAAAAAAAACGTTAAGCGAAATAAGGGGACCTAAAACTGTCATCATTAAGTGAAGCATGGTCCCAAAATCATTAAGCGAAAATCGCCCATAGGGAAAATAATTAAGTGAAGCACAAGATCACTCCGAAAAAGCCATCGTTAAGTGAATTTTTCGTTTTACGAAGTAATCGTTAAGCGAGGCACCACTGTATCTTGATTTCAACAAAGCTTGACAAAATGACACATGAAATTCTGATTAGTAAGCTAACTAGATGTTGGCTGGATAGAACAACTGTCAGGCAGATAGATACACAGTTGGTTACAGAATCTTACTCAGGGGAGTGCTTAGGATTTCAGCTGAATATCAGGAAAAACTTCCTAATTGTTTAAGCTGTAGAACAATGGAATCAATTACCTTTGGAGCACTCCAGTGCTGATGGCATTCAAGAGAAAATTAGCCAACTATACTTTGATTTGAATTCCTGCATTGAACTGGGGTAGACTCTATAGGCTTATAGGCCCCCTTTGAATTCGATTATTCTATGATTCTTTGAAACTGGACATAATCAACTTGCAGGAGGGGAAAGCTGTTTACAAGAGGGGAAATACAGTATTTACAACCATCATAAGAATAACTATACAGTAGTTGTAATTGCTGTTTTCTCACATTCTCCATGGATTGACTTGACCCCTTTCTCTTTTTAGACAGGAAGTAGAATGTTGGAGTAATTGAGCTGATGTAATTGGGGTGGGGGAGTTTCCATCAATAGGGGTGGGTTGTAAAGGGCTTGGTCCAGCATAGCCAGGCAAGTATGACAGGCCAGCTTATTCCTGCTAATGAAGAAAAAAAATCAAAACAAAACAAAGTAAGAGTTGTTAGTCTTAAAAATGCTACAGGGTTTGTTTTTACTGGAACAGATCAGCATAGCTATTTAATGGGAAATTAAAGTTCTTCATATTTATAGATGTGCAAAATTGACACTGCGTCCAAAAAACCAAATAATGGAATTGATTTGGATTCGTTTCTCTGGGCCGATGCTGTTGCCTTCCTGCAGTTCTGATTTAAAAGTGTTTGATAAGAAAAAAATCTGGTATTTTTTGTCGGTAGATATTCAAAATTGTGTAGACATTATATCATATGAGCATATGGATTTGTTTCTCTGGGCAGATGCTGTTGCCTTCCTGTAGTACTGATTTAAAAGTGTTTGACAAAAAAAAAAATCTGGTCTTTTTTGTCTGTAGATATTCAAAATTGTGAAGACATTGTATCATGAGCAAGAAAGGACAGTCTGATAGAGTTAAATTGTGTTGCATTTCACAATGTGGGCAATCAGATCTTTTGTTTAGTCGCTTAGTTTTTGACTTCTTCCATTATCTGACTAGAATGGCACACAGAGTAAAGCTCTGGTCTTTAAACTATAGAAGGGGGAATATAAAATTCCTTTCAGCTGCTATTTCTATGCTTGTTATAAAGTATTTCTATCCACATCTCCCAAGAACCATCCATAACTCCAGTGAACGGTTCCTATTGATGTAAGAATGGAAAATTGCCATAACTGGATGGTACAGAAATATGACAAGTGGTAACCTCATCTTGCTCGGTATTCCATAATCTAATTTGTAATTTGTTTGTTTGTTTGTTTCCCTTGTCTTCATCTTCTATTTTCCTCCCGTACTGCAGCCCCGGGTGGATGGCTATTTATAAATAGATTCCTTGACAGATTTATTGAGGAACTGTAGTGAAAACATATAATATTAAAATGTCTAGAGCTGAGATAAACTAAATCAAGACCTTGCAAGCCTGGTTTCCCTTCTGTGTATTAGAGAAAATTGGTTAATATGACACTGTTACACAAACTACAATTCATATATCTTCAAGCTTCCAGTTCCTCTGGTTTATATGGCATGTATGCCACAATATTCTGTGTTTACTAGGTATTTTGGAAAGAAATAGTTATGTTTGAGGGCTCTTATGGATTGTCTTGTTCCTCTTATGTTTGCTCGTCCATATTGATTATTCCCATATGGGAGAAGCCTATAGGCTGGTATGAGATAAACTTATAGGGTACTTGCAGTAATTAGAACTAGTATTCCCCACCACCTCCATCTACCTAATTTTATTTTGTGGATTTTAATACATTTGTGGAGTTGTTAGTGCATCACTTTAGTGCTAATCTTTACATGGTGTGATTGGGTTCTTTCTCTAAGAGGGGCGGACCCTTCAATTCAGCAGGAAAAAAGGACGGAGAAGAAGATAATGGTTCAAACATGGTTTCTTTATTCTTTTGCACATCTTGGTTGCTAACATAGTAAGGATCTAAGTAACTTAATTCGGGCATCAGTTTGTAACTCTTTACATGAACTGTGCTTGTATTCCTTTCTTCTGCTATTTCTTCGCCAGCCCACGCGAACCTTGCTCTTTTTGTGGCCGCGCAGACTCCCGCAACAGGGGTGTTTCACCGAATTCCCCTCTAGATAAGGTAGTTGGTGGTACCAATGAATGTCACTTTCTTCCCTCTGTCCTGGGATCGGGGTACCACTACCATATTCCATTCCACCTTAGGTCTTATCTTTCCCCTGTACATAATATTAGGTGGGTCGGGCAGTAGACCTCCACCAGTTCTCAGGTTTGGGAAATCCCGGGCTAATTCTGTTATTCCATACCTTTTCACCTCTGTTTCTTCTTTCTGTGTATGCTTGTCTCCTCTCTCTATCTCCTGCTCTCCTCCTGTTCTGCCCCTTCTCGTCTCGTCCTCCTTTTATAACCTTATCCCACCTGATCTCCTGCTCTCCTCCTGTTCTGCCCCTTTCACTCTTGTCTCGTCCTCCTTTTATAACCTCATCCCACCTGATACGTTCTAGCTCCTCCCCTCTCCCTGCTCATCTGGTCTCTGCCAGAAATATCTCCAGTGCCCTGTTTCTACCAGTCTCTCCTTCCTCTAGCTTGATTAACTCTTCTACCACGCAACCAGCTGTCCTCTCCTGTCTGATCTCAGTGGAGGACACACTAGACATCTCTCCTTCACACATGGATATACGTACTCCATTTGTAATTTTTGAGTTTATGTCGTCATGAAAACCGGCTACTATCTCACAGACGCAATTGTATAAACTAGTTCTTTAAGGCTGAATTGAGTTTCAAATGAATGCAATCGCTATCATCACAATAAGAGAGATCTTCTGATGCACATTAGATGGTATTTAGAAATAACCTGTATAGCCAATTCGTTTCTTTGTCGTTCTTCTCTGTGAAATCTGTTCCCCCAAGATAACGGTGGCAGTGATTTGCAAAGCAATACTTTGATATTTTTTTTGATGGCTCAGTGGTTTAGATCTGTAGCTGGTGACCCAAGGGTTGGAGTTTGTTTCCTCACTCTGCCTCCTTGGCAGAGGCTGGACTTAATGATCCATAGGGTTTCTTATAGCTTTGCAATTCTCCAATTATTATTATTATCATTACACGTTTGTTCTGCTTATTTTATTCATTCAATCATTCATTCATTTCTGTATCACCCCATTGGTGCAGATACACTATTCTGGGCAGTGAGCAAGCTGAAAGCCATAACAAAAGTGTCACAACCTGTCCTAGTTCTTCTAGCTAGTTTGAAACCGAATTTCACTTTGAAATATGTGGTGGGATCTCGTTTTGTATATTAGGACTATGTTTTTTCATGGAGGGTAACCTCAGACCCACAATAGTGAGGAAGTTGACTAAAGCGATTAACTACAGATGTCAGTCATAAAAAAATTCTGTTATGTATTAGTATAAAGACCTGCTTTTTAAAATTTCATTTGTCAAATGCCAATTTGATTTACCCTATGATTATTGAGTCCTCAGATATAATTGTTAGCGCAACAGCCAAAGTCAAGCCCCAGTTGCCAAAACAGAAATCTTATTTTGCTAAAAGTGTTATCAGTGCTGCGATTCTTACCATACGACATCTCTGAAGTAGAAAGGATGTTATCTAGCAAAACCTTGAGCTATTCTGTTCATGTTAGGTGCCCATTAATTGGTGGTGGGTCATTCTCTGTGGAAGAGTAAAGAGAATTGTTTTTGCTCTTCTCCCTGATACAAGGCAAGAGAGTTTAAACTGCATTCAAACTAACTTGCTAACTTTCTCTCTTTCAGCTCCAAAATCTTGGAATTAATCCAGCAAACATTGGCTTCAGTACCTTAACAATGGAATCTGACAAATTCATATGTATTAGAGAAAAAGTTGGTGAGCAAGCACAGGTTGTGATCATAGACATGAGCGATCCAACAACTCCTATCAGGCGCCCAATTTCTGCAGAAAGTGCCATCATGAATCCTGCTTCTAAAGTTATTGCTCTGAAAGGTACGTTTGATATCCTGTGTCTATCTGGCATAGTAGAGCAGTACAATAGTGGAGTGTTAGTTCTGCTTTGAATTAGGCTAAAGGTAATTGTACCAGGCCTGAAGATCCATAACTGCTGTCCTGTTGGCAAGCTAGGAATAGTGTAAAATAATGGAATTGATTTTTACAAGGAGGCAAGCAGTTTGGAGTGGTCTCTGGTTAATATGGGGCTTGTCAAATTTATTGAAAATCAATCTCATACATTGCCCTGCAGAACAGATATTTTCTGAACTTGAGAAAATTTGGAGCATTCTCCATTCTTTAATGCTTTTTCCAGGCATGTATTGTTTCAGCAGCAGTTATTTCTTAGATTTGAATCTATTTGTTTGTTAGATTTGTTTGTTTTGAAAAACAGACAGTTTCCATGTAATTCTGTTAATTGTAGTAAATAAAGCATGAATTATGCTGCTAGTGTGGCTGGAAATGTCAAAGTTCTTGTGGCTTGTCTTGGAGCTGTAAGGAATTCTCCAGGAGATGCGCTGCCTAATTGTTGTGCTAAAATGTCCCTGTACAAGCAGATGCAAACGCTTTTAAAATATGAAACAGTTTCATTGTCATTGACCATGTACTTTTCTTCCTGCATTCTTGTCTTAAAACAGATGGTGAGTTAACTTTTTCCTGACACACTTCATGTTTAATAGTATGGAATGGTCTAATCTCATAAAAAGTACTGAATTCTGCAAAAAAAGCAATTTGGCAAATAACTGTAGAGTTAATTGGGATCTAGACACTGTAGCTTGAATTTTGGGGGAAATTCTTATCATTTGTTTTTCATGACTTGCTAGTTACTACTGTTGGACCGAACCAGTCCCTTCATATTATAGTCACTGGACCAAGAACTGCTGTATAGCTCAGTGGTTTAGGTATCTGGCCGCGAAGCCAGAGGTTGGAAGTTTGATTCCTTGCTATGCCTCCTTGAGAGGGGCTGGACTTGATATTCCATAGGGTCCCTTCCAGCTCTGCAGTTCTAAGATTATCATTATTATTATTATTATAAGTCAAGTCACAATACTTTTATGAGAGACCTTTGCTAGCATGGTGTCTTGTGTGCAAGTCACTTTATCTTCAATGTGGTACTTGGTCCCCAAAGTCGATGACAGTTTTTGCAAGAGTCCATGATGCTATGTTTACCAGTGAACTTTTATTGGAAACCTCAAGCAGCAGCTGGATGAGTGTTGGCTGCTGGCATGTAGTAATCCCAAGCTTGCTAAAAACGTATCCTGGTGGGAGCTTGGGCTTTGAAAATACAATGTAGGTGGCAACAGTTAACACCAGTAATAACTTTGACTTAAAAGTCAGTACATGTATAATATTTTAATTACTATTATCTTACCTAGCCACCTGGGTGACTCAATCTGTTGGCCAGCAATGCTAATGTTTAGTGATAGCCCTGGATTAATTCTTCCCAGATGCACTTCTATGGCTATGCAGATAATGGTAACCTCAGAGATGCAAATAACTTTAGAGAAACATTTTCCATATTAAGAATTCCTATAGCATTGCTGTTTCCTAGTTTATAAAAAGATCTAGATGGACAGATAAGACAACAGCTCTCCAGCATATCTTTATACAGTAGGAGAAGCAAGGCTGTGGGTTTGCACAGAAACTTTATACCCAACGGAACTATGCATCACTTTGTATTGAAGTTCCAAGGAAACATTGCTTCTGGAATTCACTTTAACCATTCCTTGCCGATGGAGTCTGTTCATGACAAACTCACTGCATATAATTATGTCTTGCTTGAAAACGTGCGTTCCTTGTGCAAGCAATGAACATATGATGCCAGTCCTTCGGAGATGTCATGCTTCTCTAAACTGTTTTAAAAGTATGGCGAGTGCATACAAAATACATTTCTGGATTGCATGTGGCATTTCCACGGTGAGCCAAGCGTTATTGTCCATGTATCTCTGTACCCTGTGTTGTTCTGTACCATAAGAGCACTTCAGGTAATTGATGTTGAGCAGAATGGGGGAATGCAGCACTTTTTAGAAGACATTTCCATACATGCACCATGGGAATGCAAAAACGCAATTTCATGCTCTACTCTTGCACAGATGCAAAATGTTCCAAGCTATTTTTTCCCCTAGAATTTGCAAGGAAAAAATAAAGGAACTATTCAGAACTACCTGTCTTTTAAAGATAAACATAATTCAGTTGTGTAATTTTTGTTGTGATATACACATGCTTTTCTGGTGAGAGTCTATTGGTGGGTCAGCTTCATTGATGGGACAACACAATACAGTCTAATCCATGGGAAGGAATGTTTCTTGAGAGGCTGGGGTGAAATTGTTGCATGTTGCTCTTCCCCCAAATTCTGTTGAAGTGTTCCCAGCCCCTAACAGCTCACTCAAAGATGGGTCTGCTGGTTAGGGCTCTCTTGTTCCTGGCATGCCCTCCCTGAAACAATAAATTCAAATTAACTAATTGAAGAAGTGATTGTTGTCAATATAATCTTTGAAGGATAAAACCCTTTTGTATCTCATGGCCTTTTCTCCTCACTGTCCTACCATTCATCCTTTGTCCCCACTTGTGTATGTGTGTAAACTCTGCAACTGAGGGCAACACTTCGTGCATCTGAAGTGGGTTCTCACACATAAAGCCTTATAACACAGTCAGGCTGGTTTGTAAAGTTCTGTAAGATATTTTTTTCACAAGAGACAAACATGCTACTCCTTGAATTTAAAAATAATAACAAATGTTTAGTTCATGAGCTTGTTCCATCACTTGTTGGAGAGCAAAGGCTTGCGGTACGTGGTTTTTCTGATACTTAAGCGGAAGCTTATCTTTAGAATGTTGGCTTCCTTTATGACATTGCTGCAATTATAGGGCCTCCTCTATAAAATGGGAGTTAACCTAGCCGGTCATAGATTACATTTTGAAGGTTCCTATAGGGAAAATGTCTCAGATTGGGGTGTGAAAATAAACTTAAGCTTATTTTCGCACTCCATTCAGAGTCATTTTCAAATGAAATAGTATAATATTGCAAAGAAATTCAATGACTTAAAAAACTCAGTGGGCGAGGGGGCATCCAAAGCCACAATGGGATTAGAGTGAAAATGGATGAGACATGGATCTAGACTCAAGCCTTTGAGGGTCATCACAGGGAAGTGTTTAGCTGCAAGAACTAGGCATATGTTTTAGAACAGGGGCTTTTTGTATGAGCAGGTCCATGGCAGTGCTTGAACTGGATAAGCCCTACGCCAGCTCCTTACACTTTTTGTTGAATCATTCCCTCTTTGTTGTTTTTCTTACGTGCTGTCAAATTGGAACCAATCTATAGCAAACCTAATAGGGCTTTCAAAGTAAGTGAGATATTTAAAGAGCAGTTTTACCAGTTCCATGCCCTCAGTGAGTTTCCATGACTGAGCAGGGAGTTGAACCCAGGCCGCCTGGGTTCTAGTCCATCACTCTGTCCACTACTACACCAGTGGTCCCCAACCTTGGGCCTCCAGATGTTCTTGGACTACAACACCATCACCTCTCCTGGCCAGGATTTCTGGGAGTTGAAGTCCAAGAACATCTGGAGACCCATGGTTGGGGACCACTGCACTACACCGCACTAACAGTGTAGTTAATTACGGGGCTAGCTCCATTGTTGCTGGCAATCCCTTATAAATCGTAACAAAAGGTGTAGCCTTGTAACTGACAAAAGGTTGATTGCCTAGGGCAGTGGTTCCCAACCTTGTGTCTCCAGATGTTCTTTGACTAAAACTCTCAGAAGCCTTCACCACTAGTGAAGTCCAAGAACATCTGGAGACCCAAGGTTGGGGACCACTGCACTGCACCACACTAACAGTGTAGTTAATTACGGGGCTAACTCCATTGTTGCTGGTAATCCTTTATAAATCGTAACAAAAGGTGTAGCCTTGTAACTGACAAAAGGTTGATTGCCTAGGGCAATGGTTCCCAACCTTGTGTCTCCAGATGTTCTTTGACTAAAACTCTCAGAAGCCTTCACCACTAGCTGTGCCGGCCAAGATTTCTGGGACTTGTAGTCCAAGAACATCTGGGGATCCAAGATTGGGAACCACTAGGTATCTGGCCTTTTTTTAACTGGATGGTGTTTTCTTCCTTGATTTTCTCAGCCTGTGAGAAGCCATGGGTTAAATCTGGCTCTACTGTGGTCTTGTATGTCCATCAGAAGGAAATAGTATCATGCTTTTCCTTTGCCTGTCTGCTTCTCTTCCGACCTCCTGCTCCACACTCTGCCCTCATCCTGGCCATTTAACTTTTGTTACTAGGAATCTGTGTTTAGCTTGAATTTGCAGTGCTTGATGACTTTGCAAGTCTGCAAAGGAGATAGCAGTGTGGTTATAAACAATTTAATATGTAAAATATGTGAACACAGTAAATATGTGTGTTGTCCTTTGAAGAACTGCAAATACATGAAAGTCGTTTCAGGGCTTCACTGACAGCAGACTCGCTTTAGAGCCACTAGCGTTGGATTGACACTTACAAACTACACTGTACACATGACAGTTGAATTTTTAAAAATGTTATTCTTCAACAATAACTCAGTGGTTTAAGTATCTGACTGCAGAGCCAGAAGTTTGGAGTTCAATTCCACACTTTCTCCAAGTTGAGCCAGCCTGTGTGGCCTTGGACAAGCTGCACAGTCCCAGGGCATCCCCAGAAAAAGAGATTAGTAAACTACTTCTGAGTATTCTCTACCTGGAAACCCCTGAAAAGGGTCGCCACAGGGCATAATTGAGTTGCTGGTGCATGATGCTGATCCTGCTCAATATGTTTAGCTGTAAGACTACATTAAAACTGGTTTGTAAGCTTGTTAGTTTTTTTGGGGGGAGCTATAGAGTGGGATATACTGTAAGTGCTGTAGATAAACCATCAAACATAAGAAGTCCATGATGGATCAGACCAACGATATACTTAGTTTAGCATTCTGTTTGTCATGACCACTAACTAAATGCTTTTGGGAAGCCAAGAGGCTGAAATAGGTGGAATAGAGGGCCCTGCTGCTTGTGTTCCCAGCAAGTGATATTCAAAGGCAAAACTCCCTAACCATCACAACAAATAGCCTTTGTTTTCTTCTTTCCAGTTATTGTGAAGCAGAAAGAGCAGGATTGTTCTTGTATAGCTTTTAGGTTGTGTTTTTAAGAAGCAGCTGTTATCCTTTTTAGCAGTTCATCTGTTGGAAGTTTTATTGTTTAGCGTCTGCTTCTTAACTTCCTGTCTTTTTAAATATTGGTTCGTGCTTTATTATATGCCTTTTGTTTTCTTGGGCCGATTTATAACACTGCTACTGTTTTGTATTAATGGTGGCATCTTTAGAAAGTTCAGTAGAATCTAGGCTTTCTTTACGGAAAGAGACTCTTTTTCTTTCAGCTTACCTGCTGAAATTTGTGTCTTGTAAATAACATAGAGCTAAACGTGTGAGGGAGCACACCATCATTGTTTGTGGAGTTCAGCTGTTGATAATGTATTGTGTCTCCTAGTTGTCAAACTACTGCTTTTTTCCAGCTTCTGGAAGGAAAACAGTGGGGTTAAGATGCAGTGGTATTGTGCAACAGCATTAGAATGAAGATTCTTGCCAGACCATTAAAAGTCTGGGCCAATTGAAACTTGGAGTTTCTGTGGAGTGGAAAGTCCCAGTAATATAATAACATGGGACCACACCTCTCTCTATGAGGAAACTCACCCTCAGGTTGGCACTTAGAGGACTTGCACAAGGCGCATGAGTCCATATTAGTACACTGGTGGGATTTCTCACACAGTGGAAGGTCCATATGATACTAGCCATAGTTCCTGCAAAAGTATGCAGTCTTGTAGTTCCACTACAAACTGCCCCTCCAAGAAAACCAAGGGAGAAAAACATTGTGGCACTTTAAAAACTTCTATATTTTATTCATAGATTAAGTCCACTAAGAAAGGCAGTTTGTGGTATATGTATATGTACTCTTTATGCCACAAGGACCAGGGATCATTGCACAAAAGAGACCAGCTAAAGACACCCATCAGCCACAGTGACAGTGACTTAACAATACATCCACAATAAAAACACGCTGATCACCCTATCTCCTGAAAGGGACAAAAGCTGTTCCCACAGCTCTAGATACTCAACTATCCAGCAAACAGCAACAGAGCATGGACAGAGTTCCGACTCCAGTCTTCTGAAGATGCTGGCCACAGAGACTGGCGAAATGTCAGGAAGAACAACTTTCAGAACACGGCCAAAGCGCCCGAAAAACCCACAACAACCATTTGCCAATAAACACTGCTGTTTACAGTAAATGTAAACAGTTGTTTTCTCCAGGGATACACTGAGTATCTTTGACTAGATCTTGCTTTGATAAAATCAATAAAGATATATGGCCTCACTTATTTCAAACTATGTGTTTCCTCAGTGTGGGAGTAGCTTTTCGTATATAATTTTTTGTACTGATGTTGGCACAATATAACTCCATATCAGTCTTTTGTCTTTTCCAGCTGACTGTGTGTGTCATAAACTGCCATATACCCACCTGTCTTCCTTGTTCAGCCTAAGAAACTTTTAAACTTGAAAAGCAGAAAGTGAAGCACAGGTGTTAGGAAATTATTATTATTATTATTATTTTTAGTATATGGCAACACTGGCCTTGTCGATCTTCCTGAATTCTAAGTAAGATCATGCTGATATGGGTGTTTGAACAGTCAATGGCCAAATCCTAAGTTGATTGAGTTCAAGCAGATTTAAATAGATAAGACTCAAAACCATCTTTCTTCTGTCTGCTACCAGACGTGATACCATCCCCCACTTTTTTTAAGAGTATAGTTTAGTTGATAATTTTGACAATAGCATCCTGAGACTTTCATATGAGCAGGGGTAGCTATCGCTTAGTACCTTGGAGGTCTGTGATTCTTTGTCTTTCTCTCTTGTACACCAGCGGGGAAAACACTCCAGATCTTTAACATTGAGATGAAAAGTAAAATGAAAGCACATACAATGGCTGAAGAAGTGATCTTTTGGAAATGGATATCTGTGAATACAGTTTCCTTAGTGACAGAAACTGCTGTCTATCACTGGAGTATGGAAGGAGACTCTCTGCCGCAAAAGATGTTTGACCGACACGCCAGTCTTGCAGGTTGCCAAATCATCAATTACAGAACAGATGAAAATCAAAAGTGGTTACTCCTCATAGGAATCTCTGCTCAGGTGAGGAAGGCTATGGATAGCACAGGGGGTGCAAGCGTGCCTCCAGGTGTGTGAGTGAAAGAAATATGGAGATTAGAAGACAAACATTTCTTGGCCCCAGGTGGCAACAGACTCTACTCATCGTTGACTATATGGTGAGCCTGTGACATAGAGTTGCATCTGTTCCGTTGTGTTAGTTGTTGGAGTTGCTTGTGGTAGGAGGCAAGCTGAGGGGATATGAATGAATTAAGACTTTATGTTTCTGGTATTAATGAATGTTTTCAACACCATTGAGTGTTCCTGTTCTCGCTTCATTAGCAAAACCGTGTGGTTGGTGCCATGCAGCTCTATTCAGTGGATCGAAAAGTTTCCCAGCCTATAGAGGGACATGCGGCAGCTTTTGCAGAGTTCAAGATAGAAGGAAATGTTAAACCCTCCACCCTCTTCTGTTTTGCTGTGAGAAGCCCTGCAGGAGGCAAGGTAAAAAGCTTCGTGGTCGCTCTAAATAAAAGCAACTGTTAGCATGGACAGCAGCAGACTCTTGAGACATGAACTGGTGGAGTGATGTTCCTCCTCAAAAGAGCTTGCGCCGGTGCAACCAGATGATGCAGGCCCTCCTAATTAATGATTTAAAAAAAATTATTATCCACTTGTAAAGGCATGGCCTGGTGTTCCTGGTGGCAAATCGGCATATACCATATTTTTCTGTGTATATGACTATACTTTTGTCTAAAATCGTTAGACTAAAAATTGAAGTTCGCCTTATACACAGAAGTAAGTTGAGAACAAAAAACAAGTGGAGGAGAAAGCAGGGATCAAAGTGATCCTGCAGCACTTAGATCCCTTTCCCCCTACACTTGCTAAGCCCCACTTATTTTTCTTAATTCTGGATTTAAAAAGTGGGGGCGTCTTATACACAGAAAAATACAGTATTTCAGCATGTCTGAATGACTGCCTAAGAGTAGCAATTTTAACCTGAATTATGAAAAAGTATCATTGAATGTTACTTGATATGCAGGCTCCTGATATACTCAAACTATGGAACGATTAGTAGAATTTTTAAAGGACTGAGTATTTTGACAGCCATGTTGAAGCTAAGCAGAATCCACGCTACTTCTCTGAGCATTTTTATTTTCTGAGGAGTTTCTGATCTGGGTAGACTTTCCTGATCCAATGAGGCAATGAATTGTAATTCTGTGTCTCCTTAGCTGCATATAATTGAAGTGGGTCAACCTGCAGCTGGAAACCAGCCCTTTGTTAAGAAAGCAGTGGATGTGTTTTTCCCTCCTGAGGCTCAAACAGATTTCCCAGTAGCAATGCAGGTAAGGACTGAAGATTGTATTTAAACTTCTATAGATCTGACTGAATTGCATCAAGTATAGCAATGTTACTGAATGACTGCTCTTGCATTTTGAAAGGCTACCACACCCGGACATTGTAGAATACATGGCTCTAAAGTACAGTATTGTATTGGCATGCAGAGTTGCTTAAAATGATCTGGAACTCAGGGAAGCACCTAATGCACTTTACACAAGATAGACTAAAATTCCTGCTTAAGTTTATTATTTTTTAATGTAACGAAGTAAGATAAACTATTATACCAAATTTACGGATACAGTACCTTCTTTCTCTGCCCCTTTCAGAAAAACATATGTGTGTAATGATGGCTGGGATTTACCTGATAACATACTGCTCATTCATTCATTCATTCATTCATTCATTCATTCATTCATTCATTCATTCATTAAATTTATACCCCGCCCCTCTAGACCATGTCTACTCGGGGCAGCTTACAACATAAAAATTATATTTACAGCCATACAAAAGCAAATAAATCAAATACACAACACGAAAGATGGAAGGGAGAGGAGCAAGAAAGATGACTTCTAAATAATCGTTAAGCGATTACATCATTAAATGAAGCAATCGCTAAGCAAGGCACCACTGTACTTTGAAATAGCATCTGTCTTGAGAAATGGTACAGAGATGCTTGTCTCGAGAATGTGAATCTCCTTCTCGCATACTTCACAAGTTTTGTAAGGATTACTAATATAACTTCCCATAAGTGCCCAAAAATGTAAGGTAAAAGTTGCATGAAGCCTTGCTGCACTATTTTGCAAAAAGCTTCTGTTCCTACCCTGGAAGATGGACGAGGTCTGAAAAACAGTAGCTTGCCAAGGACAGAAATGGCTTCAATAAATAGGGCAAGTGTCCAGTTTTTTAAGAAACAGACTCTGCCACTTCGGCATTTGGCATAAACATGTGGCATGGTGTTTTGCCCTTCTAACTGAAGTGTGAGAGACAGTGAAATCCATCCAGCTGTGCAACACATTGAGTTCTTGTTGTGCAGTAGGGCTAGAGTCAATAAGTGGCTTCAGCAAGTAGTCGGTAAGTAGCTAGTAAGCAGCATTAGAATTGTTCACTTTTAACAGTCTAACCATATCCCTTTTTGTTTGCATTTGGTAGATTGGAACAAAGCACGGTGTTATCTATCTCATTACAAAATATGGATATATTCATATGTATGACTTGGAATCCGGAGTGTGCATCTATATGAACCGTATTAGTGCAGACACTATCTTTGTTACTGCACCTCATGAACCTACCTCTGGGATTATCGGCGTGAATAAAAAAGGACAGGTAAGACTGACCTGAGAGACCATTTACGCTGTAGGTCAGGGTAGGGAACCTTTGGCTTTCCAGGTATTGAATGGTCCCTCTTATCATGTTTTGCAACGGATCTAGTCTGTTAGAGCTGAATTAGAGTTCAGCAGTGTGTTAAGGTCTATAGCTTTGTACTAATGAATAGTTCTGCAGTTAAATTCATGGCGAATTCTCTCTGATTATTATGTAAAATGCAGTAAACACAGAATCTAGGCTTAGTAGAGCAGATTGCTTTAGCAATTGTCTAAATGCAAGCACCCCTTCATGGATTGCAGCCTTGTCATGGCAAAGGGGCTTGAGTAATTCAGAGAAGCTATGGGCTATGCCGTGCAGGACACCCAAGACGGACAGGTCACAGTGGAGAGTTCTGACTAAACGCAATCCACCTGGAACAGGAACTAGCAAGCCACTCCAGTATCTTTGCCAAGAAAATTCCATGGGTAGAAACAAAAGGCTAAAAGATATGACGCTGGAAGATGAGCCCCTCAGGCCGGAAGGCGTCCAGCATGCTACTGAGGAAGAGCAGAGGACAAGGACAAGTAGTTTCAGAGCTTATGAAGTGGTCGGGACAAAGCCGAAAGGATGCTCAGTTGCGGACGTGCCTGGAAGTGAAAGGAAAGTCCATAAGAAAAACACTGCGTAGGAACCTGGAATGTAAGATCTATGAACCTTGGTAAGCTGGATGTGGTCAAACAGGAGATGGCAAGAATAAACATCGACATCCTGGGCGTCAGTGAAGTAAAATGGATGGGAATGGGCGAATTCAATTCAGACAATTATCATATCTACTATTGTGGGCAAGAATCCCGTAGAAGAAATGGAGTAGCTCTCATAGTGAACAAAAGAGTGGGAAAAGCTGTACTGGGATACAATCTCAAAAATGACAGAATGATTTCAATATGAATCAAGACAGACCTTTCAACATCACAAGTTTGTGCACCAACCACTGATGCTGAAGAGGCTGAAATTGACCAATTTTATGAAGACTTACAACACCTTCTAGAACTGACACCAAAGAAAGATGTTCTTCTCATTCTAGGGGACTGAAATGCTAAAGTAGGGAGTCAAAAGATACAAGGAACAAAAGGAAAATATGGCCTTGGAGTTCAAAACGAAGCAGGGCAAAGTCTAATAAGGTTTTGTCAAGAGAACAGGCTGGTCATCGCAAACACTCTTTTCCAACAACACAAGAGGTGACTCTGCACATGCACATCACCATGTGGGCAATACTAAAATCATATTGATTATGTTCTTTGCAGCCAAAGATGGAGAAGCTCTATATAGTCAGCAAAAACAAGACTTGGAGCTGATTGTGGGTCTGATCATCAGCTTCTTATAGCAAAACTCAAGCTTAAACTGAAGAAAGTAAGAAAAATCACTGGGCTAGTCAGGTATAATCTAAACCAAATCCCTTATGAATACACAGTGGAAGTGAAGAACGGATTTAAGGAACTAGATTTGGTGGACAGAGTTCCTGAAGAACTACGGATGGAGGCTGGTAACATTGTACAGGAGGCAGCAACAAAGACCGTCCCAAAGAAAAGGAAATGCAAGAAGCAAAATGGCTGTCCAACAAGACCTTACAAATAGTAGAGAAGAGAAGGGAAACAAAATGCAAGGGAGGTAGGGAAAGTTACAGAAAATGGAATGCAGACTTCCAAAGAATAGCAAGGAGAGACAAGTAGTAACTTGTTAATTAGTAGCAACTCACCAGTGAGATTTAGTTGATTATACCTGCATTGGTGTAAGTTCCTAGCAGGATTCTGGCAGTTGGGTATGGATAATGCCACTGTGAATCTCCCCTTAATGTTCTCTATAACAAAAACTCTATTTCTCTAGCACAAGAAACTTAGATGCCCTGCAGGTTTCCCAATCCAAAATAGGTCACTGTAACAGGTTTGAAAGGACTCAAGGATGTGATGTTTATGTTCAACCAGAAAGGAATGTGAGTTTAAAAAGGCTGAGAGACACAGGTCTGGAGGGTTGTTTGTCACCTGAAGCTCAGCAATATCTTCTGTCTTTGTAGGTACTTTCTGTTTGTGTGGAAGAAGATAACATTGTAAACTATGCCACTAACGTGCTGCAGAACCCTGACCTTGGTCTCCGCATGGCTATTCGGAGTAACCTAGCAGGAGCAGAAGAACTCTTTGCCAGAAAGTTTAATACTCTTTTTGCACAGGGAAACTATGCAGAAGCGGCCAAAGTGGCAGCATCTGCACCAAAGGTAAGGTGTCCTTTAGCGGGGAGGGCAGACTGTCTCTTATCCCCTACACGGAATTGTGTAGCATGTAACCTTGATCAAATACCAGGCACTCCCAAATCATGCCAGAATACCATGTGACAAGGTCCCTCCTTCAGAGAGAGGGAAGACCAGTTACTAGATACATTTTCAGCAGATCCCAGTCAATTGCAAGATGTCTTTGATTCAGGCAGCTGACATCTGAGGACAGATTCTGTCTTCCTCTTCCTTGCATCTTTATCCATTTTGTTGTTAGCATATGACAGCAACTGGCTTCTGGTTTTTGGCAACTGCTTATTCTAGAGCCTTGAAATATAAAAGCTGGAGTTCAATAGCATTTACTCCTAATTTAAATGTTGAGGCTTGTATGGTTTTGGAACACTCACAAAAGTTGCTCTGTATTGACAGGAGACGTAGCTGGCTTTTAGTTTATACCAGATGAAGTGGCCTGTAGACCCAGAAGCTATTTTTACATTTCCCAGAGCCGGAGTGGTTGTTTTTTTCCCCCCAGTTTGGAAGTGGCCTGTCAGTCTTGCCAGGATCACATGAAAATGTCTGATATGATCATAGGGGTTCCCTGAGCTGGAAGAAAATTACCCCTGGAGATCATCCATCCGTTTCTTGCATTGGGTTGTGATTTTTAAGCAAAAAAGGGAGTGCTCAGTGGCGGTCTGCTTAGGTTAGGAGCTCTCCTTGAAGCAGACCCTTATGCATTCTTTTCCAAACTTTCAGGGAATCCTACGGACAAGTGATACCATCCGGAAGTTCCAGAGCGTACCGGCACAACCTGGTCAGGCCTCTCCCTTGTTACAGTATTTCGGTATCCTCCTTGATCAAGGTCAGCTCAACAAATTTGAGTCTCTGGAACTCTGCCGTCCAGTGCTTCAGCAAGGGCGCAAGCAGCTCCTGGAAAAATGGCTGAAAGAGGATAAAGTAAACAGATGCGGTTTGATTTATTTCAATTGACTGTCCTTTGGGTAATTCCTAATGGGAGCATTGCCCCTTGCAACATAGAAATAGTGTACTTATCAAGATATATCAATGTATAACTCTCAGTACAACAGTAGGGTAGGAAGAGGAATATACGGCAGTAATGTGTTACTTTTAACAACAGAGATGTGTTGCTAATGCTCTTCCCAGCATCTAACAGAAAGGTCTCCAGGCTGCTTGCTTAAAATCTGGCTGTATTCTCAATTTATATTGAGGTTTCTACATATTGTGTGTCTCTAAAGAAACTGTCAGCCTTCAGGTGTGTGGGGTTGCAACTCCCATTGTCCCACAGCAGGGTCAGCACATATGAGCCTTCTCGGTATTTAAGATAATCAGAGGAGGCCCTCTCTTCCCTCGATCGCACTGCCAGCAGAGGAACAGTTGAGGAAGACAGGAGAGAGGACTTTCTCTAGGGCAGCTTCCAGATTATGGGATGCTCTCCCTTGGGAGGTTAGATTAGCCCTCTCCCGTTCATCCTTCCACCAACAGCTGAAGATCCACTTTTTTCAGGCTGGTTTTTAACTGTCGTAACTGAGTCCCTGAAAAATAGTTCAAATAGTTTTTAACATTTTTTATGTTTTTAATCATTCAGGATATTTTAATCAGTTTTATAGTTTTAATTATTAAAATATAATTTACTTTTTTGTCATTCTGTTTTTTTTTAATACTGCGAGCTGCCTTCAGTCTCTTATCGGGAGAAAGGTGGGCAAATAAGACAAATAAATAAATTAAATCAACAAATACGTGCCTGAGGCAGCAGATTGGGGAAGGCTGTGTTAAATCAACATGGAGTTGTTAGAATCTTCGAGCTAAGGGTATCTCCCGGCAAAATCCTTGAGCTGCATTCCTGTACTAACAATAGAGTTCTCTTCGTGAGCAGTGAGGTGCATCGTTAAGATTCAAGCAGTCATGATGCGTGTCTTCTGGGCAGCCAGTAACCCTCGCCTTTGCTCGCTGCAGCAGGGGAAGATTAGCATCAAAATGCTGCTGCAGTGGCAAGGCTTCTATCCCACGCTAACAAACGAGAGGCAGCCCAACACTTGGGACCTGCGTTAATGCCGAAACACTCTTTTCTCTTTCAGCTGGAATGCTCTGAGGAGCTTGGAGACTTGGTAAAGTCTGCCGACCCAACCCTTGCCCTCAGCGTTTATCTCCGTGCAAATGTACCAAACAAAGTCATCCAGTGTTTTGCGGAAACCGGCCAATTCCAGAAAATAGTTCTTTACGCCAAAAAGGTAAAAGTATGTGATTGTGTAACACTTGTCTTGGAAGCTCGAAGCTTCTTGAACACACTGCTATGTTTTATCTTTGTGGAGATAAGAGAAGGCCTTGGAACATTCCAGCCTATCTGGAGCGTGATAGGCAAGAGTCTTACCTTGTTAAGTTTCAGCCACTTGTGTCATGTGATCTTTGGAGCATTCATTCGGTATTCTGGTTCTAGCCAAATATTGGGAAACTAGACTCTGAACTTCAAGGCATTTTCTGTAGATGAGTGATGGTGTGTCACAAGTTCTGTGGTTTATAGTGTATGTGTGTTTCAGCCACTAGTAATCCACGGTTTGGCTGGGAGCAGGAGGTCTCATCCTGCCATAGCTGGATAAGGCATGTTCCATTTTCCTTTGCCATCTCCCCCATGTAAGACAACGGGGAGCTGAGGGTTTCACTCAAGACAAATGAATTAAGATGAACTCTGTACATTAATACATTTCCTACCTTTTTATCAGCTTAAAATGTTAAATATGCTATCTTTCAGCATCAGAACTTCCAAAGTTGTTAACAGCTAATATTAAAACATGACAAAATATAGCAGAGCACCACAGTCTCTGCAGAATGTAAAAGTAATCTGATTTTTAAAAGTCTGGGCAAGTGAGGTCCCACTCCAGTGCTGAAACAGCCTAAGATTCAATGTTACGTGTATTTCCCTGGGAAGGGTAGTCCAGAGATCACTTCTACCTGAAAAAGACCCTTTCTCTAGTCATTTTCTGTTTAATCTCCTAAAGATGGATAACATCTACAGTCAGATACAGCCACAAATCTACATGCCCAGGTCTGAAATGGTGGGCCTTTATAGGTGTGTTTCCTTTGACTTGTTGATCTAATACCTCTATATTGTAGCAATCTCCAAGTGGCCTTCAGAGCAGAGGTATGTACAAGGCCATACAATAATTGAATCTATATTTTATCAGATTATTAATAATGAATAGTTATTACCTTGTTCTGACTTCATACAACACAGGTGCAAACATGATTTGAGAAGACTCTTCTGGGCGGCATGTAGCTATGCCAAGGCCTTATTGGTTTTGGAAAGGAATTGCTTATTTAAAATCTCTTTCAATGTGGTTTTTAGGTTGGTTATACCCCAGACTGGATTTTCTTGTTGAGGAGTGTGATGAGAGTCAGCCCTGATCAGGGCCTTCAGTTTGCTCAGATGTTGGTACAAGATGAAGAACCTTTGGCTAACATCAATCAGGTGAAACTTGACTTACACCTCTTCTGGTGAGGCAGTTCTAAAATACAAGTTGAAATAACATGTATTGGAATACTTTTAGTTTGTCTCATGGTATCTTATGCAATGTGGAGAAGGAGGAAGAATCCCGATAACTTTGGATGTCTGTTCAGTTGGGCAAAAAATTTATAAGAATTGACTGCTCTCTGAAAGAAGTGTAGATGAGCAGAAGAGTTTGCATGTAAAGCTGTTACCTATAGTCATTAATCCTGCCAACCTAGCGGTTTGAAAGCATGCAAATGCGAGTAGATAAATAGGGACCACCTCGGTGGGAAGGTAACAGTGTTCCGTGTCTAAGTCGCACTGGCCATGTGACCACGGAAGATTGTCTTCGGACAAACGCTGGCTCTATGACTTGGAAATGGGGATGAGCACTGCACCCTAGAGTCGAACACGACTGGACAAAAATTGTCAAGGGGAACCTTTACCTTACCTATAGTCATGAAAGACAGATATGAAATGCTCTGTTAAGAAGTTGATGGGTATGGACAGCAGCAATTCACGTATGTGTTTAAAGAGATGTTAGTGCGTTTTGAATGCATCTTGATGAGACCAGCTACTCTTCTAGAGGGAAGGAACTGAACTAGGTAAACTCATTTTAGAAAGATCCTTGCCTCTCTTAAACAAGGTAGTACCAGGATTTTCTTAACATCTGATGTACCCTGGATGTGCATTGTTTGGACATTTCTAATAGCATTAAATTATTATCCATCACATATTTGCAGTAAGTTCTCTGTTGCCTCTTTCTTTCCTGAGTTCCGCTTGAGCACATGGCATTTCTAATCACATCTGTGTTGTAAATTCTTGACCACCACCTTGGTTACATGGACATTTATGTGATGGTTTTATAGTGACTGCAATCTTCCTTAGGATTTGAATATATATTGTGAACTGTTTTGTTACCAAATATTGTTGACATATTCTTGTATTGTGGTTGGAGTTGCACATGTGTAATTATTGAAGAAGATACTGGCCTATGCATATATAGAATCAGACAGCAGTCTATTCAAGCAGTATAGAAGTGGTGGCCCAGTAATAAGCATAAAACCCAAATAGTTGTCCATTGTTTACATTTCTAAGAGCTGTTCCTTCTGTTCTAGATTGTTGATGTATTCATGGAGAACAGTTTAATTCAGCAGTGCACTTCCTTCCTGTTGGATGCCTTGAAAAATAATCGTCCTGCTGAGGGTCACCTTCAAACTCGTCTGCTGGAGATGAACCTCATTCATGCTCCACAGGTAACTTCTCCCTTCCCAGTTTTGGATATTTTTGGAAGGTGTTCCTTCTCATCCCCCCTCTTGAAAGAAGCCAAGCTCAACTAATGCTCCATGTGTCATTTGGCCACTGTGGCTTCTATCTGGAAATTCATTATACAGGTTTCAGTAAATCTTTACTGTAAACTGATAGTACAATCTTGCTGACATCTTTTAGGTTGCAGATGCCATCCTTGGAAATCAGATGTTCACTCACTATGATCGTGCCCACATTGCTCAGCTTTGTGAAAAGGCGGGCTTGTTACAGAGAGCACTGGAGCATTACACTGACCTTTATGACATCAAACGTGCTGTTGTTCACACCCATCTTTTGAACCCAGAGGTAAGACGCTTCTGCTTTTCACGCTGCTAGTTTTAGAAGAGGGAGCTGCTTTAGTCTGTGCAAGCATATCAGGCAAAAACCAAAGATAGACAAAAAAATGAAGAAGACAAAAACCTTGTGGTACCTTAAAGACTAACTGCTGTATTTTTAATGTGAGCTTAATGTGAGCAAGTACAAGAAAGCTCACATTAAAATATTGCAGTTAGTCTTTAATGTGCTATGAGGTTTTTGTCTTCATTTTTTGTTTTTCTTTGGTTTTTGTCTGTCTGTCTGTCTATCTATCTATGTAGGTAGATTGGTAGATAGATATAGTCTCAGTATCCATTGATTCACTTATATATATATATAGGGATTTTTCTTTTAATATTTTCAGACCATGAGTAAGTGAATCAGTGGATACTGATCCGGCAGATAAGGGGTCCTACTGTATACAGTGGACCCTTGACTTACAGACGGCTTGACTTAAAGACTTTTTGAGTTACAGACTTCTCTGGCCGCAAAATTTAGGTTTGACTTGCAGCCTGAGAATTGACTTACAGACCAGAAAAAAACCAAAATGGAACAAAAACGGCCTGTTACGGGATTAATTGGTTTTCAATGCACTGTAGGTCAATGGAGACTTGACCTACAGACTTTTTGACTTGAGAACCGCCTTCCAATACGGATTAAGTTCTCAAGTCAAGACCCCACTGTACTCATTGTGCCTTTTCGCCTTCTCTTATTAACTTCTAGCCTATGCTTAAATGAACTAGAGGAGTGTATTGAATGGGTGGGCAGGGCATAAGTTCGGCATTCAGTGAGTTGAAATGTCCTGGGTGATTTGCAGGGCATCAGCAAGGCCTTCTAGCTTCCAGTGTAATAGCAGCAACTGCAAAATAGCTGCCCAGAATTATACTTCTGAGATGAAGAAACCTTGGGGTTGCCGAGCAAAGGTTTTTTGGTTTGGTAAGAGACAGGCCTCTGTTGATTGGGATAAATTTCCAGGCTTCACCTGCTTGGAATTATCAGCAAGCCTGAGGACCAGAACACCAATAGCCACACATATACAACTTGTTTTTGTTGTATTAGTTACCATTGCCAGTAGCCCCGATGGAGACCAGGGAAGCAGATGCAGAGTTAACCACAAGGACATAGGCCACTGCGTGGCCCTGCCTATCCCCCAGGGAGCAGGGGCACGGATCAGCCCCCCGCCCAAGCTGGGCTTACATGAGACCACCCCATCCCTACCCTATTAAGAGGCTCATCTATGGAGGGTTTACTAAAAAAAAAATTAGTAGGAACAAATGCGTTTACAAGATTACAGCCTTCCAGCAGAACATTAGAAAATTTACCCTGACTGAATCATACCTAGGCAGAGACATGGAACATTT